GAAAGCCAGACGGCCCTGGGACCCATCCCCCTCCAGAGACGAACTTTTCAGATTGAATCTGCCGGCTTCTATACGTTTGTGAGCCATTTATCTAAGATAAATCTCTCTCTCTCTCTCTTTCTCTCTCTATAAATATATATATATATATACTTTGCTGGTTTTTGTGTTTCTCTAGAGAACCCTATCCAACACAGTGGGTATTCTGTCAATTCCTGGAGCCTTGTTCTTCGTCAATTCCTTCAGTGCAACTTTAACTTCGTGGTTCTTGATCATATGTCACCTCCTGGAATAGATGAACATCGACCCAATTCTTTTTGGTACAGTGACCTTGCGTATTCTTTCCTTCTTCTTTTGTTACTTCCTGTATCATTCAATATTTTGCCCATAGAATCCTTTAATATTCCAACTCAAGGCTTGAATTTTTTCTTTAGTTCTTTCAGCTTGAGAAATGCCAAGTGTGTCCTTCCCTTTTGGTTTTCTAACTTCAGGTTCATTGCACATTTCATTATAATAATTGACTTTGTCTTCTCAAGTTGCTCTTTGAAATATTCTGTTCAGTTCTTCTATCTTGTCATTTCTTCCATTTCCTTTAGCTACTCTCCATTCAAAAGCAAATTTCAGAGCCTCTTTTGACACCGGTTTTGGTCTTTTCTTCTTCTGTCTTTTTAATGACCTTTTGCTTTCTTCATCTATGATGTTCTTGATGTCATTCCACAACGTGTTTGGTTTTCATTCATCACTGTTCAATGCTTCAAATCTATTCTTCAGATGGTCTCTAAATTCAGGTAAAATATAATCAAGATCATATTTTGGCTCCTGTGGACTTGTTTAATTGTCTTCAGCTTCAACTTGCACTTGCAGATGAGCGATTGATGATCTGTTTCACAGTCAGCTGCTGGCCTTGTTTTGACTGAAGACAATGAGCTTCTCCATCACCTCTTTGCATAGACATAGCTGATCTGATTCCTGCTTATTCCATTTGGTGAGGTCTTTCTCTCTCTCTCTACATATATATATATATATACAGCTGCTGTTTATGTTGTTGAAAAAAGGTTTTTGCAATGAATAAGTCACTGGTCCTGCAAAATTCTATCATGCGATCTCCAGTGTCATTTCTATCCCCAAGTCCATATTTTCCAACTACCAGTGATTCTTCTTTGTTTCCAACTTTCACATTTCAATCACCAGTAGTAATTAAAACATCTTGATTGCATGTTTGGTCATTTTCAGACTGCAGAAGTTGGTAAAAATCTTCAATTTCCTTGTCTTTTGCTTTAGTAGTTGATGCATAAATTTGAGTAATAGTAGTATTAACTGGTCTTCCTTGTAGGTGTGTGGGTATTATCCTATCACTGATAGCACTGTACTTCAGGATAGCTCTTGAAACATTCTTTGTGATGATAAATGCCACGCCATTCTTTTTCAGTCTGTCATTCCTGGCATAGTAGAATATATATCTGAGTAGATAACATAGCTGATAGTAGATTGTAAATCTGAGTCCAAAACCAGTCCACTTCACCTCACTAATGGGAAGGATTTCAATCTTTATGTGTTCTATTTCATTTTTGACAACTTCCAATTTTTCTAGATTCAAACTTTATACATTCCATGTTCCAATTATTAATGGATGTTTGCAGCTGTTTCTTCCCATTTTGAGTCATGCCCCATCAGCAAATGGAGGCCCCGAATACTTTACACCATCCGCATCATTAAGGTCAACACTACTTTGAGAAGATAGCTCTTCCCCAGTCATATTTTGAGTGCCTTCCACCCTGACAGGCTCATCATCCAGCACTAGATCAGACAATGTTCCAGGGCTATTTATAAAGTTTTCCAGTTTCACTGCTATTCATAAGGTTTTTACTGGCCAATTCTTTGGGAAGTACATGGCCCTTCCTTCTTCCCAGTCTACCAAAGGTATTAGAAATGAAAAAAATTTTGTGACTATATGCTTAAGATCAATCCATGTGCATGAAGATAACTATAAATAAGATTCCAAAAAAGTATATAAGCATTGCTAGCTGGTGTGCCCATACTCACCCTGATTCAATATGATATGGCAAGGCTGGCACTGACCCCCATGGCACAGCTCAGCACAGTGGTGCTGACCACAATTCAAAACATTCCCACATGGATTGGAACAGTGAACTGAGATGGCTTGACCACAACGAACTGTGTGCCTGTAAAGAGAGCAGATGGTCACATTACTTTAAAAGTTCCTGTATGGCGGTTAAACTAATACTGAATTTCAAACCCTCCCCTCAAAACTACTAAACGAACAGAAAAAAAAAAAAAAACCACCAAAACCTACTAAACCTATCTCAACCCTATTTTCTCCACTTTTTCTGTTTCCCTCTTCTAACTCTTATTTCCTGTCTCCCACTCTTTCACCTCCTTTGTTTTCCGTAGGTGCTCTAGTGGCATAGTGGTTAAAGTGTTTGGCTGCTAATCAAAGGGTTTGTGGTTCAAATCCATCAGCTGCTCCATGGGAGAAAGATGAGGCAGTCTGCTTCCATAAAGATTTACAAGCTTGGAAACCCTATGGGGCAGTTCTACTCTGTCCTAAAGGGTCCTTATTAGTCAGAATTGACTTGATGACAGTGTCCACTGTTTTTTTTTTTTTTATTTCCCAATCTGCCTTTCTCTTCCCCTATTTACTGACTAGTAAAGAATTAAAGGCTATTTCTGAGTATTTGTTGTATGTGATTTCATCTCATGAGTCCTCAGGAAACAACATATAGGAAGGGAATGCACCGTGGGATGAGAAGGGTCAGAAGATTTGGATTTGAGTCCTAGCTCTGCCTTGAGCTCCCACAGTGCCCAACAGATTGGAGTAATAGGGTGGTGGCTATAACGTACATATTTAGACTAAAAGCACATGGCATTTTCCTGGGACAAAGCATGCTGGGATTTTATGCAGCTGTAATACGAACAAACTGTATGTGACTTTGACTCAAGGGTAGGGAAATCATTCTGGGTTTGTTCCAACAGCATCTTGATTTGGCTAATTTCTTAGCTAGAGGAGGATACAAAAACAAACAAAACACACTGCCATTGAGTCGATTCTGATTCACAGTGACCTCCACTGGGTTTTCAAGGCTGTAAATCTTTACAGAAGCAGAGTGCCTCATCTTTCTTCTATGGCGAGGCTACTGGGTTTGAGCCACTGACCTTTTTGTTAGTATCCAAAAGCATTAAACACTGCACCACAAGAACTCCTTAGAGAAAGATACAAGGCCAGTGCTTTTAGACAACCATCTTCAGATCTCTTTCCAGGGTCATGACAGACCTTAGAGTGTACTCTTCTCTAAGAAGAGTGTGTTTCTGTGCCCCACCCACACCCTAACTATTTTGTTTTGAAAGGTCACTGTTATATACGTAGATGATCAGTATTCAGCACTCAGCAGAATGGCTAACACTGCCATAATGGTTATGTTTCATTATGCCTAGCATGGCTAACATTAACCCTTTAGGTAGATACTACTATTTCTACTTTATAAGAAGGAAAACAAGGCTCACCGAGACCAGGCAACTTGCCCAGAATCATCAACCAGTAAGTGGCACAGCCCAGAACAAACCCTGGTATTTCTGACCTAGAGCCCCTACACGTGACCCACAGGTCACACTGCTACCTTAGCAAGTCCATGAAATGCTAAGTGAACAAAAGGAAGTATTCCCATCATTGAAAATCTGCATAATTCTATCTCATCTCGTGATTCAGAAATCATTTTAAGATCTTACTGGAGCTCAGAAGCACCTGCAGCTATCAGTGGTTCTTGCACTGGTGATGCAGGAGAACTTGTATTATAATGGAAAGAGTATGCATCATTTATTCTTTCATTCAACAATATTCACTGATAATCTCCTAGACGGTAGGTACTGTGCCAGGCATAAGTAATGTCACTCTAGTGAGTGACAGAACCTGTCACCTTGGCATTTCACCTGAACTGGGTAATCTCATTGTGCATACAACTTCTTACTCACTTACAAGATTTCAAAACAGGATTGGGACAGCACAGGAAACTAATATTTAAAGAAATGTATTATTTATACCTATCATTTATTTAGGAGCTCTGGTAGCATAGTGCCTAAGGCATTTGACCGCTAACCAGAGGGCTGGTGGTTCAAACCCACCAGCCACTCCTCAGAAGGAAGGTTGGGCAATCTACTTCTGTAGTGATATTGCCTTGGAAACCCAAGAAGGGGTCACTATGAGTCTCGGGTCTGACTCGACGGCACGTAACACCACCACCACCACATCATTTATTTATAGCTACCAGTTAATCTTTTAAGGATCCCTGGTGGCAAAGTGGTTAAAAACTTGGTTGCTTACTGAAAGGTCAGTGATTCAAACTCTCTAGCCACTCTAAGGGAAAAAGATGCAGCAGTCTATTTCTATAAAGATTACAGCCTTGGAAACCCTATGGGGAGCTCTACTCTGCCCTATAGGGTCACTACAAATTGGAATTGACTTGCCAGCATACAACGACAACTGATTTTTTAAGAAGCCCTGGTGGCACAATGGTTAAGCATTTAGCTGCTAACCAAAAGGTTGGTGGTTTAAACTCACCAGAGCCTCCAGAGGGAAGAAGACCCAGTGATATGTACCCATAAAGATTATAGCCTTGAAAACTCTATGGGGCAGTTCTATTTTGTCCTATAGGGTCTCTATGAGTTGGAATCAACTCAATGGCACACCATGACCATACTATCACCACAACCCCAATGATCCTCCTATTTTACAAATTTACAAGTAAGCCATCAATGTGGAAAGTACAGTCTAACTTGGTGAACTGTAACTTTACCTGGTCCGTCCACATTCACATGTTTTAGTCATAAAGGCAGGGCAGGGTGGGCAAGGTCCAGGATGGCAGAGACTAAAAAAGAAAGTGTTCAATGAGTAAACCACACTCATGTATTTAAACCTGAACAAAGCTTCCCCAACTAGGTGCTACTGTACATATGACAACAGACAAATAAATCTGCTATGAAATGTTTTAGTATTTATCTAAAGTTGATTAAACTACTTAAACAAAGATACCAACAGTATTTTTCTATAGAAATAATGGACAGTATTATCATCTTAGAAAATTTAACCAGAAACAAATTAAAATGATGGTTTCATTTAGATCTGACAAAGATGGTATTTTCAAATATGGTCTCAGTCCTTTTACAGCAGTGTGTGGGGACAAAAAAAAAAAAAAATTCACTCAGGTGAATGGCAAGTCCTTTAGAAGATCAGAACATGAGCAAAGTAAGAGCTCCAGTCTACAAAGATACATGAAAATATATACATTTTTTCATCAGCTAGAAAAGTAATAATGAGGTGATAGGATAACAATGGGAACAATGAAGAGAAGGTTGACCTGAGGGTAGGTATGCTGGCAAATAACATGTTGTTGTTACGTGCCGTGGAGTCGGATCCGACTCATAGGCAACCCCTCCTTGGGTTTCCAAGGCAGTATCACTACGGAAGCAGAGGGGAAAAAAAGGGAAATGGGACTCATGGAAAGAACTGGGTTTAGATGTAATATAGACCAGAATTAGACCTCCGAATAGAATGCTTTTTATAGGAGCTATGTTATATTAAAGTAATGAGACTGATGGAAAAAAAAATTACAACACTGAATTCGTATAGACATTAATAAGCATTGTCCTCTTCAATGCAAAAACCTTGGTAAATTACATACTGGCTCAGAAATACCACTACTTAAGACATTTTGGGAACTTCTATGACTTTTGCTGGGGGAGGGGTACTTTAAGTAGTAGTAAATCACAGTCTTTTTTGGAATTAAAAGCCAATCAGAGCCAAGTCTAGTTAATCAGGTGGGTAACAGACTCTGGTATAAAAACCTGGTGTGCCTATTAGGTGTCCTGGCTGGGTTTTTTATGTGATTTGTAAAGCATATGTAATAATTCTCAAATAAGCATTTCAAGTGCTTGAAACACTGAAAACAACCCATGAACAAGGGTCTAATCTTCTAAGGTGACCCATTTTTTGACAGATGGTACCCATAGGAGATATGTATTTAAATATGAGTATCATTATTTAAAGGAGCTCTGGTAGTGTAGTGGTTAAGGCCTTTGGCTGCCAACCAAAAGGTCAATAGTTTGAATCTAACAGTTGTTCCAGGGAAAAAAGATAAGGCAATCTGCTTCCATAAAGATTTACTGCCTTGGAAACCTAATGGGGGTTGCTATGAGTTGGAATTGGCTTGATGGCAGTGAGTTTGGTGTTTTTAGTTATCATGATTTAAGTCTTTCAAGAACAAATTATTTTCTGCAACGAATATTTTGTTGAAACCATGTGTTTTCAGTAATGGAAGGCATTTTAAATGACACAAAACAATTCTGAGGTAATATGGATTTTGACACAATTAGTGGGACACATATGCCCCAAGGGGTTTCTGGTGCTAGGGTTAGTGGGATAAGGCCCCAGTTCTTCAGTTTCATGCGGTTATGCAGCCCCCCACCAGATGGCAACACACACTAAAAGTATGATAGGAGCTTCCCACTAAACCCCAGAGGCAGAAAATGTAGGTAGGTAGTATACATCCCATGGGTTGTGAAAGGGTTAAGTTATTCTTTGCATGTTGTTGTTGTTGTTGTTATGTGCCGTCGAGTCGGCCCCGACTCATAGCGACCCCTCCTTGGGTTTCCGAGGCAGTATCACTACGGAAGTAGGACTGCCCAACCTTCCTTCCGGGGAGTGGCTGGTGGGTTTGAACCGCCAGCCATCTGGTTAGCAGGCAAGTGTCTTAGCCACTATGCTACCAGAGCTCCCTTTGAGTGAAATAATTTTCATGGTTGCATATTTAATTTTAGACTGACAGATAAACTGCTGGTCAGGTGTGGCTGACTCCAGGTTGTTTCAAACTTTGGGATGCTTGGATTCAATTCCAGTTTTTCTAAACCTTTAGGGCAGTGGTTCTCACAACTATCTACATATTAGAATCACCAGGAAATCTTTTAAAACCATAGCCATTCAGATTCCGTACCCAGATATTCTGACTCAATTGCTCTGAGGTAGAGACTGAGCACTGGTGTTTTAAAATGCTCCTTAAAGTGACCTCAATGTGTAGCCAGAGTTGCTCTAAAGAATTTTATAACCTATGGGTACAACCTGAAATAGAGAGAGAGAGAGAAGTGCCATCTATGACTTCTGAGTCCTGATAAGGATAAATGAGAAAAATCCAAAACTTCATACATGCTGTATGAGGTGTGCTATCAAGGAACGGGTGCTATCAAAAAATGAGGTTCAGCAATCTCTAGGATCTGACAGGAGTAGAACGGCAGTTCTTAAGTCAAGCAAAGGAATTCCAAAGCCACAAAAGAGTAGGTTTTAGGGTCTTTTTTCCCTTTAGACAAGGTGTTAACCACGTGATATACATCATTATGAGTTGGAACTGACTTGATGGTAGTAGGGTTTTTTTTTTATTTGTTTTATGCATGCAGTGTAGTAAATTACTTTGTGTGGCTTTTCTACCCATAAGTCTTTGTAAACTCCAAGGTGGGATTTGCTATGAGCAACTGAGGAGCTCCTGATTGCTGAAGGTGTCCCTGGAGTATTTCTGTTGGGAGTGGCACAATACAATGTTCTGGGAGGTGCCCACTCTCTCTCAGGTGCTTAGAGTTCTGATGCTGTGATCGGCTAGTTTGACCACCCTGCCGGGCTCAAAAGGAGGCCTCCTGGAGGTAGAACTCTCTCTGACTGCTGGTGGAGGAAGACGTGCTGCTGAAAGAGACACGCACCCCTGAAAGAGACACGTGCTGCTGGGAAAGAGACATGAGAGACACGCATTGCTGAGTGAGACACCGAGGGACCAGCACTGCTGGGAAAGAGACTGTGAGAGACTGTTGGCTGAGGGATGGTGGGCTGGGAGAGAGACTGAGCGTTCTTCCTGAACTTAAATTGTAGCTTGGTGCTTCCCTAATAAACCTTGTAATCTCTGAGTTCTGTGTGGCCACTGCAGTGAATTATCAAACCCAGGAGAGAGGTGGTGGGTGCTCTGGGAGGAACGGTTGGAGAAAGGGCTGGAGGGAGGCAACATGTCTGGCCTGGCAATAATAGGCCTTGGGTTACTGCTGGTAACCTGTCTTCCCTTTGTGGGATTAGAGGAGGTCGGAACATGTGGCCTCCTTGTCGTTTTTGCAATGCATAACTAAGACTGTTGATGTTCTCTGGTAGTCAAGGGTCCGTTTCTGCTGAAGACTTTGGAAAGACAGTCTCTGCAGAAGGTTGATGTATCACTATTGACTTTACTTTAAATGCCAACTAAAGGAAGGAGTAATTTAAGTAAATAATCCTGGGTTTTGAGAAAGGACCTATACAAACAGTCAAGGGGAGACATGGGGTGGACTGTCCAGTATATCACAGGCCATGTAGCCAGTCTGAAACAGCTCTTTCCCCCTGACAATTCACCAGCACCACCACAACCACATCTTGATCCCAAGACCTCTATTCACCTCTGCTCCATGCAGCAGAAGGCCAAGACAACAATGATGTCTGTCTCTTTTACTCTTAAATTTGGGTAGTAAAAGAGTTACCATGTTTTGACCACTTACCATGTGCCAGGCCTCATAGTGTATTAATCCATTTAATATTCATAGAACCCTATGACATATGTATTATTACACTTACATCATTATTGTTTTACAGATGCAAAAACTGAGGCCTAGAGAAGTTAAGTAACTTATCTGAGGCCACATTAACTATTAAATAACTAAAACCCAAAAATTAAACTTCATCTGTGGTCAGAGCCTATAGAAATTTGTTATTTGTAACTGATCAACTGTTTCTCTGTTATTATGCTTTTCTCTTATCTAAAAGGCGAATGAATACATTCTAAAGCTACTACTTACTATGGAGAAGGATTCACATTCTAAAAACAATGGCTATCAGGGCCCTAGCACAACTGTCTTTCCCCAGACAGAAGCCTGCCCAATTTCTTGAACTCAGATATTACTGGAGGATGAAAAAGCTCAGTCTCATTTCTTCTTAGAAGCCACTAATATAGTGGGAGGAGCAATGGCTTTGGTAGTCTCAGTACTAGTATGTCCTAACACTGTGACCTTGGGCAAGACGCTTGACTTTTCTAAGCCTCATCTGTGAAGTAGAGCTGACAAGTACTTATACCTTACTATTATAAGGATTCAATGAGTTAATTTATGCAGAGTGCGTGGCACAAAGTAGGTGCTCAGTAAATGGTACCCTTATTGCCTTTCAATCCCATCCTCTTAATGCTAACCAGATAGGTATACTTAGGGCTACCAACAAAGCATGTCCACCAGGAATCCCCAGGGGTCCAGCATTCCAACTTACAGGTTACAGGAATGTGGGCAGTCCTGGCCGGGCTGTTTCTTTCTACAAACCTCACCACAACTATGTGGAATTTCATTTCTGCTCCATTCAGGATTCTTCACCTTACCTAAAATATATCAGATCAGAGAGTCAATGTCACAAACTTCAACCACATCCTTGACTTTATTGAAACAGTAGTATAGCTAGACAGCACAAAACTTTAGAACTGTTTTCATGAGTTAACACATTATCCCACATCCTAAAAGATGAATGCTACTCATCAAAAGCTTCCCTGAGTATGATAAATTTTAAATTCTGGATTACTTGTTAAATATTTTTTTCAAAGTTATTTTTACTCATGAAAATGCCACTATGACTAATGGACACATTTAATGTAAGGTAAAAAATTTACAAGATAAGCCTTCTGTATTGGATCCCTGGATTGATATGCAAATATTTGAAAGAAGGTCAGATAGAGGGGACTAAGGGAAGAGAGCAATGGGAAAAGAAATGAAGGCAGGGGGAGATGGAAAGGATATAAACTCCCTGAATAGGAGAGATTTACCTATAATATAGCTAGAAAGTAGGTATAAAACACTATACTTGTATAATCAATTCCACTCTGCAAATCTTTACTGGGCATCTTTCGTGGCTTAGCACCAGGGCAGGTAAGAGTACAACTGAGGCACAGGATTCCTCCTTGTCCTTGAGGATTCATCTGCATTTGGGCAATTCACACATTCTAAATGGCAGCCTACCCCAAGTCCTTATACTCTGCTTTTTTCTCTATCCTATCTTAGAAATCTTTGTCACATTGTTGTTGTTGTTGTTTGCCGTTGAGTCTGCCCCGACTCATAGCGACCCCTCCTTGGGTTTCTGAGGCAGTATCACTACAGAAGTAGGATTGCCCAACCTTCCTTCCGAGGAGTGGCTGGTGGGTTTGAACCGCCTGCCTTCTGGTTAGCAGTCAAGTGCCTTAGCCACTATGCTACCAGAGCTCCTCAATATACCTAAAGGCCAATGATTCCCAAATCTACATTTCCTGCCTTTCCCTAAATCCTCTGTATCGGTGCCACATGTCAACCATCTTCTAAACATCTTGCCAAGGATCTCTGAGACACTTCAAACTGACTACAAAGTCAGTTACAACCAAAGTTACTATCTTCCCTCTTAAGCATTCTGTTTTCCGTCAGTGACAGCATCACTGTCAGCCACTCAAACTCAAAAACCAGAGTCATCTCCTACTCTTCTTTCACTTTCCACATTCTACTTAATCACCAAATCATTTTTTCCAACATAGTGTCATTCTCATCAAATCTCCCCTTCTATTCCTGCTCCTAGGAGCTCTGGTAGCATAGTGCTGAAGGCATTTGACTGCTAAACAGAAGGCTGGCGGTTCAAACCCACCAGTCATTCCTCAGAAGGAAGATGAGGCGATCTACTTCCATAGTGATACTGCCTGGGAAACCCAAGGAGGGGTTGCTATGAGTTGGGTACGACTCCATGATACACAACAACAACAACAACATTCCTGCTCCTGCATCCTCCTCTCTACTGGCCAAAACCTCATTTCCTAACTCTTACAAAAGCTTCTTTGCCTCTGAATAAATTGCCCTGGTTTCCTGGAGCCATCTTTGAATGAATCCACCTCTATTACCTGACCCTAAATGATGTTTTTTTTTTCCCTGTCTGGGTTCTGCATTAGGCCCTTTTCTCACTCCTTACCTTCTATCTACTGGGGTCTCATCTATTACTCTCAACTGCAACTATCATTCCTAAGTCCTGATTTCTCTCCAACTATTTCTAACCGCCTGTTGAACATTTCTCACTAGGTGCTCTGCTTATTCCTCTAATCCAACATTTCTAAACTGACTTATTGTCCCCACCAAACCTGGTCCTTTTGACCTGCTCTTTTCTGTCCCTGGTGTCACTGTTTCCAAAAGCATGAAACTCTGGAGGCACATTTGGATTCCTCCTTGCCCACTGCTGTTAATTTCTAATTACCTATGAAATCTTTTACCCCTTCATTTCTATCCCACCCTAACATATATTAAAAACTTTTATTACTCTTTATCTAGATTATTCTATATCCCCAAACTGTTCAGGCCCCAAAATACTCTACTCATTACCAGCAGATTAATCTTCACAAAAAATCACACTGATACCCTCAGTGGCTTTTCACAGCCTGCTAAATGAAGGTCCAACTTGTAAGTCTGACATCAAGGGGTCATCCCATTTTCCAGAAATCTCCCACTCCTCCATTTTCATGGATACTAGGCTCCATAATTGGATGACTCCCTCTTCTCCCAATAGATCCTAAACCTTCTTGGTTTTTAACTTGTTTATGCTATTCTCTTCTCCAAATCTTCCCAAGATTTGGATTTCCAAGATTCTATGAAGTTTTCAAGCCCACTTCAATTCTACTTTCTTTATGAAACTAAAACCAAACCTGTTACCATCAAGTTGATGTCAACTTATGGTGATTCCATGTATTTCAGAGTAGAACTGCACTCTGTCTCCTTCTTGAAGGCTTCCCTTAATCAACCAGCTAGAAGTCAATACTCACCCCAAAGATCTCCCACAATATCTTTGCACTTCTAGTAAAAGGTCGAGTTAATTGTATATTAACTCTCAGATTTAAGATCTGGGAAGTCAATAGTCTTATTCCTCTCTGTTTGTTCACTGTACCTAGTAAACGAATAAGTTTTCAACATAAACAAATTAATGGTCTCCTGGAAGAGAAGAATGGGGCAATCGTCAAATGAAAAGGCCCATTATTTGTATTCTCACATCATTTTACCTCTCTCAGATGATCTTGACCTTTACCCCATACTGTCTACCCTCTTATGGGTTTCTTATCTAATGTGTCAGGGAAGACTTTAACAAGATTTTTAATTCCACTGTGGTCCTTTATGTTGAAAAATCCTTTAAAACAAATTATTTTTTTTTGGTCCTATTTGCCCAATTTTCTATTGATCTCTGCCTCTAGTTTCAAACTGCCTTTCCAGCATTATATTCAAGAGTACTCATTTCTTCAGCTAATATTAATTTAGTATATATTAAGGCTCAGATTTTGGCAATAAAATATATATGTAACCAGTAGATTCTGAGTAAAAGAGTAGCCAAACAGAAGAGGGGATTAACAAAGGGAAGTTTCCTAGAAGAGGATGTTTGGGGTAAAATCTTGAATGATACAGTAGATGAGGATTTAAAGAAGACGGGAGCAAACATTCTAAATAGTAGATAAATTCACCAAGGGATTGAACCTAGAAAATGAAAGAGTTGAGAGTTAACTCTTGGTAAAACCTCCTAGTTAAGTAAGAAAGAAGATATATAAGCAAATTAGAAAAATAAGGAGGGCAAGCAAAAAAGAACAGGAAGAGCTAGTCATGCCAAGAAAAGAATGGTCAAAGGTGTTAAGGGCTGCTGTGCTGCCCCAAATGCTAAGAACTTATAAACCACCACTGGATTTAGTCAAGAAGGAGGCAATGATGACTTCTGAATATAGTTTCAGTGAGGCAGTGAGGACAGAAGCAAAAATGCAATGGTGCAAGGAGGAATACGGATGATTAAGAAGCAAAAGCTGGAAAATCCACAACCGGATGGAGGTTAGTCATTAAGACAGGAAGGAAAGAAAAAAATACATGCAGGAAATAAGCTAATTACAAGAATGAACATTTGGATCGCAGCAAGTTTTTTCTAACACATAGGGAAACTAAACTATTCAAAAACAGGAAGAAATATTCTCTAACAAGGGAGGGCACAAGAATAAAATTTGTAATACTGGTTTATAGAACAATTTATCTCTCTATTAAAGGCCAATGATTGACTTCTTGGATTAAAATAAAGTACATTTCATCACTACTCTTACAGTGCTAAAATCTAGAATATCAAAGCTCCTACAGCTGAGAGAGGGAGCCTATGGGCATTCCTTCCTTTGCCAACTGGTCATCTCTGGTTCAAGCTAAGATCACGGAGACCAGTACCATGGCTCAGAGGCACCATGAACCTGGTGGGCATGATTAGAATAGACTCATCTCCAGAACAGCCTGACAAGAGCACAAAGGCCTGTGGTTATCTGTGTAATGGACTACATGATATAATGTCTCGTAGCTGTGAAGACTTAGTAGTAACTTCTAAAACATGCCCGGCAACCACCTCTCCTGGATTGGAAACTGGGGACCAATGTAAGAAGTGAAAGAGACTCTGGTGTATGCAAAAAAACTCACCACAGAAACAAGTGTAGGTATTAGGAACATGTGCGGAAACATTCTGACAAGCAGGGCACCTCCAACCACTCTGGCCATCTGTCAAGAGAATTAGCAATAAACCAAATTAATTTTCTTTCAAAAGCACATGTAATTTTTTTTTTTAATGTAAAATTATAGGAAGCATAAAGTTGAACCAATGGTAGTAATTTTGATGTTAAGTATATCAGACATTTAAGTAATAAAAGTTCACAACACTAAATGCTTTGCTTATATACTTATATTTGTAAAAATTTTCAGATACAGTAAATAAAGTAGATATTGGTTTTGTACTATTATTTCTAATGTCAAGGTAAACATCATCTGAATCTCGGCTTAAAAAAAATCAGATAAAATACTTAATTATATACAGAAAAACCCAGGTAGCTTGAATTAGAGAGCTACCATTCAGAAAGCATATTATTCTTGATTGTATCTTTAATATATTTCAGCATTGTTATGTTTAGCTGGTTTATTTAAGATCTACACCTTAACACAGGTCATCTGAAACACATGATCAAGACAGCATACTCTTTGCAGAAAGGGAGAGTAACTAAGTTCCAGAGGAATTAAATAGCATTTTTAAAAGCTAGGTTTAAAACCTAAATATGAAATAAGTAAAACTACTCAGGAGAGAGAAAGGACTGACCTGCTTGCGATGCTGGAGACCTTGCCCATTTCTTTATGCAGCTCAAATGAAACACATGATAACAGCTCTGACAACTCCACACTGGTGCTGTGACACGAACCAGCTCACAGCACACCATGCACTCATATTTTTCTGTAGTTAGCTGTTCAATTAGAGAACCTGTTAAAAAACAAACCAGATCTCAGACACAGGAAGCCATTTATCACTTTAGTCAACCAAGAGTCACTGCAGCAGTTAAGAGTCTAAACAGAGAGGTCTGAAGGGATGCCTGATTCTGAGTAAGGTGGTTGTTCAGAGTGTGAGGCCAAGAAAGAGCAAGAGTATGCTGAGTTAAAGGTCTTAAGAAGTAGACAAGCAGATGGAGACCCCCACAACAGAGGAAACATTCCCAAAATATTGCCCAGGCACCTATCAGTAGCCAAACGCCCTCTCAAACAGAGGTTGAGCATACACAGGGGTACTGCACTGTAGGGTCTTGTCTTGTCTCCTCTGGATCCAGGAGGCTCCAAATCCACCAGATCTATGGACTCAGGCTTGTGAAGCAACAGAGAAAAAGCCCAAACCCAGGTAGGTTCCAATAACCCAAAGACAGTAAGATGGTTCTAGCCATTGCCCTGGAAGTCTTTCATCGTTCACTCAGTAAACATAAGTTTGGCACCTAACACAAGCCCCATGCTAGGGTTACCAGACTAAAGGGGACAGAGTCCTTGGTTTCAGGAGTTCACCATCTAGTGAGAGAGACCAGGGGGCAGCAGCCTAAGAATCCTTACAGATTTATTCCTGAATACCCTCACCTACTTCCAGTGAAATGCTTCCATTTCCCCAAATGCCCTCTCAATAAAGTCTCTCCAGATCCCAAAAGCTGAATAGTTTCTTTTTCTTTTTTAGTTTATACTTTGTTAGCACTTATTTTACAATACTGTTATTTTCAGGTCCTAATAAATTGTAAATATAAAATAACTAACTTTAAATATGGGAGCTCTGGTGGCATAGTGCCTAAGGCATTTGGCTGCTAACCAGAAGGCTGGCGGTTAAAACCCACCAGCCACTCCTCGGAAGGAAAGTTGGGCAATCTACTTCCGTAGTGATACCGCCTCGGAAACCCAAGGAGGGGTCGCTATGAGTCAGATCCAATTCAACAGCAGTGCATTTGGTTTTTGGTAACTTTAAATATAACATGCCATGCACTTTACATGTATTATTTAATTCTCTCAATGATTTTATAGATGAAAAACTAAAGCTCACTTACTCAAGATCATATAACTGTAAATTAGAAAAGTCAAAATTCAAACTCATGGCTGACCCAAATCTCACATTTTAATCATTCCCTAATACTGGCTCTCTTAAGATTCTTTTCTAATTGTCCAATATAATGTCAACAGAAATACAGACTGTAAAGTCTATGAGGCAGGGATAGGCCTTAACTATTTCACTCACTGTAGCATTTCTAAGCCTTCAAGACCTGAGAGCGAGCCTCCACTGACAGCCAGCAAGAAAATAGGGACCTCAGTCTTACAACCACAAGGACCTGAATTCTACCACCAACCAGTGAGCTTGGAAGAAAACCCTGAGCCTCAGATGAAACCTCGTCCTGGCCAAAACCTTGATTTCAGTCCTGTGAGACTCTGGGCAGAGAATGTTGCCAATCTGTACCTGGACTTCTGTCCCATGGAACATGTGAGGTAATAACTTTCTGTTATTTTAAACAAGTTTGTTTGTGGTAATTTGTCACACAACGATAGAAAACTAATACAAATGATGTGAGAGCTGGAATTCAACAGGACTACCTTGTTTTTCTGGGTCTCACAGGTTTTCAGCCTTTGACAGGGTGAAGTTTTATTTCTTTTCTATCATTTGTTTTAGTGGAAAATATTTCCGTTTTCCTTCTTTGACAAGTTTCCACTTTATATAGGCTCCAGGTTTCATAGGTTTTATTATACAAGATTAACCAACTTTAAGGATTAAAAGGAAGATCCCCGTGGCACAGTGGTTAAGCACTAGGCTGCTAACTGAAAGGTCAGTAGTCTGAACTCACCAGCTACTCCATGGAGAAAGATGTGGCAGTCTGCTTCAGTAAAGACTGGAAACGCCATGGGTGGCTCTACTGTGTCCTATAGGGTCACTATGAGTTGGAAAAAACTCAACAGCAATGAGTTACGGGATTTTAAGTATTGAAAAAAACCTCTGGTATAACACTGCTTTGGTTCACACATAAGTTGAGGTCCCAAGATATGGCTAATAAAGCAAAACTATAGGCCAGTGTAAAATCAGGCCCTGGGCAGATGGTGGCTTCATGTGTTAGGCTGTACCTCACGTTAAACTGGAAGGTAACCAAGATGGTAAACCTCCATAGGGAGAGCTAGAAGACATATGCTATTTAGCCTAGATGAAAGAGAGACATGAGTATCATGAAGGCTGCAGGCACTTCAAAGGGCTGCTTTGCAATGGGGGTGGGGTGGGGTGGGGTGGGGACGGGAGCTGAGAGGAATAACTTTAGTTGCTATATTTCTCCAGAGGATAGAACTTGAACCCAGGGATAAAAACTATTTACAGAAAATAAGTTTTCAGTTCATGTAAGGAAGAGCTTTCCAATAGTCAGAGTCAAGTAACTACTATGTTCCAAGAACTGGATTAGGCATTAGGGATATAAAAATGAAAATGATGATAAAGGCTCTGCATTTAAGGAGCTTCTAGGCTAGTGGAGCACCCAAACCAAAACCCCATTGCCATCAAGTTGATTCTGACTCAGTGACCCTACAGAACAGAATAAAACTTCCTAAGGCTATAATTTTTTACAGAAGCAGACTGCCTCATCTTCTCCCACTGAGCGGCTAGCGGGTTTGAACCAATGACCCTTTGGATAGCAACCAAATAATTTAATCACTGTGCCACCAGAGCTCTCTTTAGTGGAGCACACTGACATGCAAACAAATGATGGTTTCTAGTGATAAGTGCAAGTATATGCAAGAGAAATACATATCATAGGGTGAAAGAGATTAATGTTGTAAGAAGAGATCAGAAAGTTTCCCTGGATATGCGACTAAGCTAGCTTTTGAAAAGCAAGAATTCACGAGTGTGCTGACTGATGGACATTCCAGACAGAGGGAGGCACATGTGCAACAGCATGGAAAAACGAATCAGCATGCAATCCTGAGAATAAAATGTGGTGGGGACTGAGGCAGGAGAAAACAGGACTGCTGAGTAAGGCAGATGCCAAAATCTATAGGAGATGAGAAGACAGTGAACTTCGTTCAAGCAGGGGACTGACACAGCTCAACATGTGCTTTAGAATATGACTGCTGGTCTAAGAGATGAAATGAAAGAAATTGGGAATGGTGGAACTAGTTAGGAGATATTGCAACTGAGCATACAAGAGATGATGTAAGCTGGAATCAGCAGTGGCAGGGGAAATGTTTCCATCCCCTACCTGTGTTTTCACAACTCAGAAACATCTTGTAACAGGCATCCATGCCATCCATTTCTACATTTTAAAAAAATCCTTGCAAAATTCTTTATTATTATTTGCTTATGATATAAAAAACTAAATAAGTGGTTACTTATTGGGAAGGGAGCAGGTGGTGGGACCTAGGCAAATGGTGAACGAGGATAGGAAAAAAACTTTGTACTTTTCATACTTCCTGGTTTCTAAGTTGTGTCAATATATTCTCTACCCAAAACTTAAAATTGAAAAATGAACTGAAAAATTTCATGCATCCAGATGAGTTTACCTGTGTGTGTTTCCACATTTTTTAGCACATGGTTCTGCTTGCCACGGGGGAAATGAGATGTTCCTTGAGGATCCTGCCTCCTTACAGAGCATTTCTCCTGGTCAATCCTCCTGGAAGACTTGCTGATGACTGCCACGTTCCCGTTGTCACAGGTGGATTTTGTTGGTCTTTCGCTGAGATTATCCTTTGGAATGGGGGTCATGCTGTTACTATGTCCTGCATTTGGATTTCGCTGGCCCTCTTGTTTTGGTGGATTTCTGCCTGGTCGTGGTCTGGCACCCTCCACTTCCCAGGGTGGCCTTTTCTGTGGGTATCTTCTCTGCTCATTGCGTTTGGCCCCATCCAACACTCCTTTTCTAAATGATGCATCCAAAGAGTCAGGGTGGACAACTCCTGCAGGTTTGGTATTTTCAGGTCTGGCATCCTCAGGTTTCAAAGTTGCCCTGTTACCCCATTCACATTTGGGTTTTCCCTTCACTTTTGGTCCTCTACCATAACTGCATACAAACTGGGTTGCTTTTTTGGGTTTTGCTCCCCTGGGATCTGCACTGACAGTGTCCTTTTCACTCTCAGAAGGACTGTGCTCTCTGGGGTTTGTCCCGCTCTCTGACTTGGCAACGTTTTCTAAGCCAGTTGTATCTGAAGTCTGGTCACTGAAAGCCTGCACCTTCTTGACTCTAGACTGGTGCTTTTCACTCCTCAATTTCTGCCAAGGTTGGTTCTGAAGGCCATGGCTCTTGGGTGATTTATTAGAAGCCGGAAATGGGAGGGAAGTCTGTTGACTCTTAGGTTTGCTTCCTGAAGGATGGTAACTGTGTTGACGAACAGCAGAGGTGTCATCATAAGGGATTTGCCTGGAAAGATGACAGGGAGGTGGTGAACTGTGATTTCCCCTACCAATCCTGCTTGAGTCTAGTCTCCTTTGAGTCCCACAACTTAGACCAGAATTTTTTCTCTCCTGAGGAATGAACTCAGCAGCATCTGTGTTGAATTTAAAAGTACCTAGAACGTAAGGAACAGACATGCAAGTAAAGAAATTATTCTGTTAGCACGAAGCCCAGAAGACATTAAACCTTATCTAAGAGCTATTTTCCTAAGGACTTTGTATAAAACAAGAAGCTCTGGTGGCGTAGTGCCTAAGGCATCTGATTGCTAACCAGAAGGTTGGCAGTTCAAACCTACCAATCACTCTGCTAAAGAAGACTGGGCAATCTAATTCCATAAAGATTTACCGCCTTGGAAATGCAAAGGGGGTCCCAAAGGGGGTCGCTATGAGTCAGAATCTATGCAATGGCAGTGAGTTTTCTTTTTTTAAATATAAAACAGGCTCTTAGTGAGGCCTCGGGAGCTCTGGTAGCATAGTGCCTAAGGCACCTGACTGCTAACCAGAAGGCTGGCAGTTCAAACCCACCAGCCACTCCTCGGAAGGAAGATGGGGCAATCAACTTACTTAGTGATACTGCCTCGGAAACCCAAGGAGGGGTCGCTATGAGTCGGGTCCAACTCGACGGGACATAACAACAACAACCACAGTGAGGCCTAGGAGTTCTGGTGGTTCAGTGATTGATGTATTTGGCTGCTAACCAAAAGGTCAGCGGTTTGAACTCACCAGCTACTCTGCGGAAGAAAGATAAGGCAGTCTGATTCCATAAAGATTTACAGGCTTAGAAATTCTATGAGGCAGTTCTACTCTGTCTTATAGGGACACTATTAGTTGGAATTGGTTCAATGCCAGTGGGTTAGTGAAGCCTATGTTTCCTGTGAAAGTGATGAGTTCAAGGTGCTTGTGGACGACTAATCATCCCATGTGGCTTTTACAGCCATACCAATAGCCAGTGACTGCTAAGAACTGCCAAGTAGAAATGCTCACGTGGATCTGTTTATACATGTATTTATTTTACCAAAGAATTAAAGATCAGCCAACAGTTCATGGGTAAGACATCAACCAGTAGGATCTATGTGGCCTTTCAAAACTCTAATGTAGCACTGTGTAATATGAAGTGCACGGGCTTTGGAGTCAAACAAACTGGGCTTAAAGTCTTCCCTCCAACTTACAGAATGAGCTTGGGAAATCACGTACTGTTTTTAGCCTTGGTTTCTTCATCCATAATATAAAAAAACCAGAAAACCAAACTCATTCCCATCAAGTCAACTGTGACCCCTAGTGACCTTACAGAACAGAGTAGAAATACCCGATAGGGTTTCCAAGACCTTATCTTTCTCCCATGGAGTAGCTGGTCCCTTTGAACCACCAGTCTTTTGATTAATAACCAAATGTTTTCACCACTGCGCCACCAGACCTCCTTTATCCATGACACAGGATAATGTTTATTTCAAAGAGTTATTGGGGAATTTAAATAAGATCAGATTTCATATAGATAGTACTTAGCATAGTGATCATATTAGTTTCTAATTCTTTCTCCCAAGAATATATTTTGGGCTTTCCTAACATAACTTCTATAATATAGTCTAGAATCCCAGTGTCTCAAAAATAAGGCATGCAAGACTTCAACTGATTCCCACTTCGATTCTTGGAATAGTCAACCTAGTCCTTGAGGCCTACGGAAATAATTATTTGCCTAAAGTTCAAAGCTAGTTAGTGGGAAAATCAGGACTATGTATAACATGTAGAATCTACTATGAATCGATAGGGCTTGGAAGACATGGGTTTAAGTTGGTGCTTACCACTTACTGTGGCTTTATACAAGTTACTTTATCCCAGTTTTCTCATATGTAAATGGAGATAGAAACAACCCCCTATACAAAGAGTTGCTATGAAGAGTAAAAGCAAGTTAAGAGCACACATAAAGTGATTAAAACAGTGCTGTAAGGACCACAGACTATCTGAAACACAGAGATTAGAGCACAGGTGGGCACAGTGCAGAGTCCTGTGGGTTTCAGGTTTCATAACAAGGCCAAGTATTTACTGGGCATGTGCCAGGCATGCATCTAAGTACTTTGCATGTACTGACTCACTTAATCCTTGCATTCCTGAAGAGAAAACTGAGGCACAGAGATTAAGTTACTTGCCCAAGGTCACAGAGGTAATCCAAGGAAGAGTAAGAATTCCAACTTGGACTATGTGGCCCTAGAGACCATGATCTTATACTACTACAGTAACAGAAAGAGGTTAGGGAGAGGAGATCATAGAAATATAGACTTAAGAATTGCACGAGATCATAAAAGTCATAGAGTAACCTCTCACTCAATCCGGGATTTGTCCTGAAAGCTTTCACACTGGCAGAATTCCAGGGGTGGGGCAAAGGAGAGCCTTACAAAATGGCAAGAGGGTTTGACAGATCAGAAGGTGGCAGAGATGGTATTCTAGACATATAAGACAGAACTTAAAGGTAGGAATAGGTACACTGGACAAAGCGAGTATTGTGCCATTCTCTCCTAGTTGAAGAAGCCGGGCTGAAAAGCGGGGAAGAAATAAAGTCAGTAAGGCTGTCCAAAGAAGCCTGGTAAAGGGTGGCAAGAGAGTTCAGGATGAGCAGAAAGAAGTTAATGTAACTAAAGCAGTCAAGTCAGAGTTGTTGATAGAGCAGTAACTATTCATATACGTTCCACTGCTATAGGAGGTAGTAAGCAAATCTCTCAGAAAAACCCTCAAGACACATAAGGAGGAGGAGAAGGACACATGAATCATGAAAACGGACCATGGCAAAGATCTGAGACATTCTCTTCTTTCACTATCTTAAGTAGCTGGAAGTTACTCAACGAACACGTCATCTCATCACCAACTACAATTAAGTTGTAGGTTCAAGGTAAGACATGTGTCCAACAAGTGCGTGGAGCACATTAAGGAGAAATCCAACTGGTGGGTTATAAAGTCCAGAGACGTAGCTGGCATTGGAGAATCTTGTCCATGGCAGAAAAACACCCCCTGGACTGGACTACTTGTTCAAGGACAGGGGCTGGCAAAAGCATTACTCCTTGAATAGCGGCTGGAGATGATACTAAAGTAAGAATGGGGTAGGAATTAAGGCAAAAGCAAACTGTGGAACATGAAAATGAGGGGAGATCTTTGGACTAGGGAACTTTGCCTTGGTAAATGTATTATGGGTGGAGGTGGTAACTTGCGGCACAACACTGGAGGCCAACACTCTAACTCACAACCAGCCCTTAGTCAATTCTGCTTCAGCACTGAAAGGTGTAGAAATGGTCAGATGTGAGCTTATAATGGGAGATCAGTTCTAGGAAAGAAAAGGGTGGGGAGAATTACAAAACACCAGCCTAAAAGAGATCTCTACCCCAAGATGACTTAACACTTACATCAGGACTAGAGTACAGCAGTGAGTTTTCCACTCACGATTATAAAAGTCACAGGGTAACCTTTCACTCAATCCAGGATTTGCCCCGAAAAGTTTCCTACAGGTAGAATTCCAAGGGTAGGCAAACTCAACAGTAAGTTTTCCAGTTTTTTTGATGAGACCCACAATAATTAATATATGTTACCTGCCACCCAGTACAAAACTACACATGTAGGGTTCTTGGAGTCCCAACAGCTGATAGGTAGAACTCAGACTAAAACCACTGTTTCCAAACATCATGCTGCAAACCGCTGCCCAGTGTTTCAGAAAGATTGAGTCCTGAAATCAATTTAGTGGATTGTGACAAACATTATTTTAAACTAAATAGAAAACAGTGTATATTGCATATAGTAAAAGTAACCACTGCTTCCTAAAACTTGTGGTTCACTTTTATATTTATGTATGTGTGCACTAAGATAGTGACGTAAAATGCTCATTTTTAGTCACTGTTTAAAAAGTTTGGAAAACATTAATCTAAGGTACAGCCCAAAGAAAATGAGTGTTATATTAACAACCAAACGAGGGCTGCTCAGGTTGAGGTAGTGAACGAACAATTATGGAACAGGGACAATACAGGGCGGAAGCCTTCACAGGAATGTATTTACTCCAAATTGATAAATGGGAAAACTGAGTCGCGGTCACCAGCGAGTTCGTGGCAGGCTGCGATTGGAAACCATGGGTGTTAAGCTCGCGCTCACGTCAATACCCCGAAATGCAAGAATACAGCTTAAGCACAGCGTGCACAACAGCCATGCATCAAGAGTCCGCCACCCGACAAGGGCGGTGACCTGGCCCACCCAGCCCGTCGGGGGCCAGTGCGCCCACTGCCCTATGAAGGCCAAGGTAAGCCCCGTTTGAGGGCAAGATTCCCACACTGGCTCCCTGGAGCAGGACAAGCCCGCTCTCCTCGGGACCCCGCTGCCGGGCTTACGACCCAATCAAGGTTGGTCGGGGTCTCCGTACGCACGACGCGCCTGTCTTGGCCCTTCCGAGCCACTATTCGCAACCCTAGCACGAGCCACTCTCGCGACATTAATGGCCGGAGCCCTTGGACTTCGTCACTGACCCTATTTCCGCTCCCCGAGAGGGGCCCAGTCCCGCCCCAGCCGGGAGAGTACCTGAGACAGGAGGCGCCTCCGCCATCCCGTGCCGCAGCACCTAAAGGGAGCCCTGCAGCCAAGTGAGCGCTGTCACCCCGTCACGTGTCCCGGACTTCCGGCGCCACGAGAATTTTAGCAACTGCGCGCGGGGAAGACGACTACCGAGGTTAAACGGCCGGGAATCCGCTGGGCGGTGCGTCCATGACGTCAGGCAAATGCGCCACCAAACCGAAACCAAACTCACTGCCCTCCAGTCGGAGATGCGCCACGTTCTAGGCTTAATAAGCCGAGTAGCTAAGGTGGTGAGAATGGAACAACAGAGTAATTTGTGACCGTGATAATTTGCATAATCATTGTTTTTGGAGATTCACTGTATTATTTTGTCCATACAAAACCACCACCACCACTCCCAACGAACTTTAGCTAGGCTTCAACTTCTGGAGTCAACTCAGCACCTTTTTCCGTCTAGAAGTGGTGTGATCTGATTTCTCCTTAAACATTTTTCTTGCTTCCATGGGAAGAATGAAGTGGGGATGAGGGTGGGGGTAAGGGACGAGAATGGAAGCAGGAGTAGAAATGGGCTGAGCTGTCCAGGCGATTGCGAGTCACAGCGACCCTATGTAAAACAGAACGAAATTGTCAGGTCCTGAGCCATTTTCACAATCTTTACAACGTTTGAGATGATTGTTGCAGCCACATGTCAATCCATCTCGTTTAGGGTCTTCCTTTTTTTGTCTGATATTCTACCAAGCATGATGTCCTTTTCAAGGGACTGGTCCCTTCTGATAACATGTCAAACTTACATGAGACAAAAAAAAGTCTCGCCATCCAACACTGTGATTCAAAAGGCTTCAATTCTCTGGTCTTCCTTATTCTTCAGCTTTCACATGCATAAGAGGTGATTGAAAATACCATGGGGTAGGTCAGGTGCACCTTAGTTCTCAAAGTGACATCTTTTCTATTAACTTTAAAGAGGTCTTTTGCAGCAGATCTGTCTAACGCAATGTGTTGTTTGACTTCGTGACTGCTGCTTCCGTATGCCTTGAGTGTGGCTCCAAGTACAATGAAATCCTTGCGAACTTCGATCTTTTTTCCATTGATCGTGATATTGCTTATTGGTCTTGTTGTGAGGATTTTCATTTTCTTTATGTTGAGGTGTAATCCATACTGAAGGCTGTAGGCTTTGCTCTTTATCAATAAGTGCTCCAAGTCTTCTTCACTTTCAGCAAGCAGAGTTGATGTCATCTGTGTATCGCAGGTTGTTAATGAATCTTCCTCCAATTCTTACGCTGTGTTCTTCTTTATGTAGCCGTCTTCTCAGATTATTTGCTCAGTAGACAGATTGAATAAGTATGGTGCAAGGGTACAACTCTGGCACACACTTTTCCTCATTTTAAATCATGCAATATCCCCTTGTTCTGTTCAAATGACTGCCTCTTGCCATATGTACAATTAACACTCTGGAATTCCCATTCTTTGCAGTGTTATCCATTATTTGTTATGATCCACACAGTCAAATGCCTTTGCATAGTCAGTAAAACACAGGTAAACATCTGTCTGGTGTTCTTTGCTTTCATCCAAAATCTATCTGACATTAGAAATTATATCCAAATTTCTTGACATAGGTGAGTGAGCACTGCCAGCATAGCATCTGTTTGTTGAAACATCTCAATTGGTATTCTGTCAGTTCCTTGAGCCTTGTTTTTTGCTAATGCCTTCAGTACAGCTTGAAATTCTTTCTTTAGTACCATCAGTTCTTCATCATATGCTACATCCTGAAATGATTGAAGGTTGAAATTCTTTTTGGTCCAGTGACTGTGTATTCCTTCATCTTTACTTGATGCTTCTTTCATCATTCAATATCTTGCCCATAGAATCCTTCAATATTGTAACTCAAGGCTTGAATTTTTTTCTTTAGTTCTTTCAGCTTGAGAAATGATGAGCATATTCTTTCTTTCCTTTTGGCTTTTAATTCCAGATGTTTGCACATTTCATTGTAATATTTTGCTTTGCCTTCTTGAGCTGCTCTTTGAAATCTTCTGTTCAGCTCTCTTACGTCATCATCAGTTCACTTCAGCTACTCTGCTTTCCAGAAAAAGTTTCAGAGTCTTTTCTGATGGACATCCATTTTGCTCTTTTCCTTCTTCCCTGTCTTTTTAAGGAGCTTTTGCTTTCTTCATGTATGATATCGTCGATGTTATCCCACAACTTGTCTGCTTTTTGGTCATTAGTATTCTATGTGTCAAATCTATTCTTGAGATGATCTCTGAATTCTGGTGGGTTTTACTCAAGCTTGTACTTTGGCTTTTGTGGGCTTGTTTTAATTTTCTTCAGCATCAAGTTGAACTTGCATATGAGCAATCAACAGTCTCTTCCATAGTAAACTCCTGGCTTGTTCCGACTGATGATATTGACCTTCTTCATTGTCTCTTTCCACAGATGTAGTCAATTTGATTCTTGTCTATTTCATCCAGTGAGGTCCATATGTACAGTTTATGTCGTTACAAGAAGGTATTTCCAATTAATAAGTTACTGATTTTGCAATCTCTGGCATAATTTGTCATTCTCAGCTTAGTATACCACGTGATGGTCTGATTCAAAATGGCCAATAATCCATGTAGGAGATCCTGGATAGAGTGGGAGAACAAATGTGGAACAAAATTCAAAATCATAAAAAAAAAAAAAGAGAGAGAGACCAGGTTTGCTGGTCAGATAGAGGTGAGAACCTTGAAACTATGGCCCCTAGCTACCCTTCACATCTGGAATTGAACTCACTTCTGTGGCTTCCAGCCAAATAGTAGACAGGCATGTGAGCTGAACGTTTACATCTGGTAGATACACTACTTGGAGTGCTCAATCATGGGAGAACAGAAGGGCAATGTATGCACAGGGAGACAGCTGTGGGGGCAGGGGAGTGCATGGGAGGGAAGGACACAGAAAAGTAACTATGGGAAGTGGAAAGAAATCTGTTACACTGTGGGGAATTACAATCAATGTCATGAGACAAAATGTATATGAACCGCTGTATGAAAAATGAATTTGCTCTGTAAATTTTCACCCAAATCACAATGAATTTTTTAAAAAATTAAACACACACAAAATGGAAATGGCCAATAGCAGTCCATTTCAGCTCACTAATGCCTAGGATCCACCACTCACATGTCAGTTTGTTGCACTGTGTGGCCTGTGTGTTGCTGTGAAGCTGGAGGCTATGCTACAGGTATTTCACATACCAGCAGGGTCACCCATGGTGGGCAGGTTTTGGCAGAGCTTCCAGACTAACACAGACTTGGAAGAAGGAAGGGGCCATCCAGTTCTCAAAGAATCGGCCAGTGAAAACCTTATGAATAGCAGTGAAACATTGTCTGGTATATTACTGGAAAACTTTATGAATATCCTTGAAACATTGTCCAATGTAGTGCAGAAAATGAGTCAGAGTTGTTGTTGTTGTTATGTGCCATCGAGTCGGACCCGACTCATAGCGACCCCTCCTTGGGTTTCCGAGGCAGTATCACTACGGAAGTAGATTGCCCCATCTTCCTTCTGAGGAGTGGCTGGTGGGTTTGAATCGTCAGCCTTCTGGTTAGCAGTCAAGTGCCTTAGGTACTACACTACCAGAGCTCCCCTTAGGTCAGAAGGCACTCAAAATACAACTGGGGAAGAGCTGCCTCCTCAGAGTAGAGCTGACCTTAACGATGTGCATGGAGTAAAGCTTTTGGGACCTCCATTTGCTGATGTGGCACAATTCAGAATGAGAAGAAATAGCTGCAAATATCCATTAATCAGAACACGGAATGTATGAAGTGTGAATCTAGGAAAATCAGTAGTTGTCAAAAATGAAATGGAACACATAAAGATTGATATCCTAGGCATCAGTGAGTTGAAATGGACTGTTTTTGACCATTTTGAATCAGACAACCATATGCTCTACTATGCCAGGAATGACAAATTGAAGAGGAATGGTGTCATATTCATCATCACAAAGAATGTTTCAAGATCTATCCTGAAGTATAATGCTGTCAATGATAGTATGATATCCATATGCCTCCAAGGAAGACTAGTTAATACTACTGTTATTCAAATTTCCACACCAACCACAAAAGCCAAAGACGAGGAAATTGAAGATTTTTACCAATTTCTGCAGTCTGAAAGTGACCGAACATGGAATCAAGATGTGTTGATTATCACTGGTGATTGGAATGCAACAATTGGAAACAAAGAAGAATCACTGGTAGTTGGAAAATATGGCCTTGGTGATAGAAATAACGCTGGAGATCACATGACAGAATTTTGCAAGACCAACGATTTATTCATTGCAAGTACCTTTTTCTTCAACAACATAAATGGCAGCTATACATGTGGACTTTGCCAGACGGAGTACACAAGAATCAGAGCAACTACATCTGTGGAAAGAGACTATGGAGAAGCTCATTATCTTCAGCCAGCACAAGGCCAGGAGCTGACTGTGGAACAGACCATCAACTGCTTATATGCAAGCTCAAATTGAAGCTGAAGACAATTAAAACAAGTCCACGGGAGCCAAACTATGACCTTGATTATATCCCTCCTGAATTTAGAGACCATCTAAGGAATAAATTTGATGCATTGAACACCAGTGACCAGAAGAATTGTGTGGGATGGCATCAACAACATCATCCATGAAGAAAGCAAAAGGTCATTAAAAAGACAGGAAAGGAAGAAAAGACAAAATGGATGTCAGAAGAGACTCTGAAACTTGCCCTTGAACTGAGAGTAGCTAAAGCAAATGGAAGAAATGACAAGATAAAAGAGCTGAACAGATGATTTTGAAGAGCAGCTCAAAAAGACAAAGTCAATTATTATAATGAAATGTGCAATGACCTGAAGTTAGAAAACCAAAAGGGAGTACATCAGGGTTGTATCCTTTCATTATATTTATTCAGCCTGTATGCTGAGCCAATAATCCAATAACCTGGATTATATGAAGAAGAACACAGCATCAGGATTGGAGGAAAACTCGTTAACAACCTGCAATATGCAGACGACACAACTTTGCTTGCTGAAAGTAAAGATAACTTGAAGCACTTATTGATGAAGATTAAAGACACCAGTCTGCAGTATGGATTACACCTCAACATAAAACAAAAGTCCTCACAACTGAACCAATAAGCAGCATCACAATAAATGGAGAAAAGACTGAAGTTGTCGAAGATTTCATAT